TAATCCAAAGTGTTTGATTTTGATGCAAAGGGGTACTCAAACTTCAATCAGAACTTGCTCAAATTTCTTCAGCCATTGCGTGACAGCGATCTTGTCATTTTGAAGATGAATCATTGAAAACTTAGTCCACACTAATCTATTAGCTTTTTTTACAAATCTGCATAGAACGGAACGAATGTACAGGTGACAGTGATGATACTGTATCATTGGTAACATAACATTCGATTCTTTTAGGTGGTGGTGATCGACAAGAAAGGATACCGACAACTACCTGACGTGAAAGTTTAAAAGTGATAAACGGGAACCATACAGAACCATTCACCAACACGTTGGATTCCGCTCAAGGCGAATTTTTGTTGATACTCTTTGTTTTTTCCATGGATAGTTGCATTCAATCAATGTATATTTTCAATTAACTATTGGTAATAAATTATTCGTGTAAATGGCTGTTATCACAGTGACACATTGATGTAACAGGATAAAAATTTGCTTTTGTTTTAATTTTACCTAGGCGTACAAAGTGAGCGGACGCTTGGTGAAGATTCTGATTATGCCATTTCCTTCAACAACTCTTTTCTTTTGCTTTCTATGAGCTCTGCGCCTTTCGTCTCCATTGCATGCTTGAGATCTAGCAGTAATTGACGTGTATGTCGCTCTTCATCAGGTTTAGTCGTTTCTTGACTTGACTTCTTTTCAAATTGAATGTATATCTGCAAGATTAGTTCCTGTTCAACTTCTAGCATAGCCCAAAGAAAAATGTGTTGAGTACTTACATCATTTAACGCTTTTTTGTATTCATTGAAGATCTTGCCCTTGGCATCATGTGCAAGCTGCTCTCTTCGTTCTCGTGTCATCCTAGGTACGGGCAAATACAGCACAACTCCTTCATGTTGAGGTGTTACGTTGAGATATGACTTCTGAAAAGGTGTAAGACTACATATTTTTATCTGTGACGAACACTGCGTTTGATTTATTGTGATTTTAGAAAATTTAGATAGCAAAACCGCAAGACAGGTAGACATCAACTATGGGGAACAGGATGGGACAAGATATAATTTTTTACTATCTACCTGTATCGCTAATTTTGCCCACTTGATGGCTGATGGATTATCCGCGAAGTTGATCATAACCATAGTAGGACTCTTCAATGATACTCGTCCAAGATGACTCATTTTGTGCTCCTAAAATGAATCCTAGTACTCTGATAACTAATTCGGTTGAAACGTCACTCACGTCTCCTTTCTCCAATTTCACCATCAGATCTTCGTACACGCGAAGGTCAACCTGAACAAGACTTTTACACTTTTTCCGTCTTGAGGCACTATTAGCACAAGTTACCTGTAATGAGAAGTGCTTAGCCAGTTCCTCTCCTAAAATTGTTTCTACATCTTTCATCTCTTTCAAGGCGCCTTGCACAAATGTGTTCTCGGCAGCTACTGCAGCAGAATGAATAACGGACGACGACTTCTAAAGTGAACAATTTGAATGGACGGTCTAATGTTCATCGCCATGCTCAATGTGTATTGTGAAAACTGAAGAACCAAAGTCGTTTTGGATTTATTGTGCCAAGAGGACTTTCTTCTTTCCACTGGACATAGAGAAAAGTAGCAAGACCATACCTTTTTGATTTTTTCCGACCTTCTCACTTTAAAATCCACAGCAGATGAGTGAATCCGCAAAGTAGAAGGCAGCTTGCGAGAAGCATGAGTTCGCAGTAACGAACATGCCAGGCGTGAAGAGCCCAAGAACAGACAATTACTCATACCCAGTCAATTTGCAACAGTACGGGAATGGTTTAGACAACAAACGCGACCTTATTATAAGTTGCTGAACTTCCTGTCGTAAGACTACCGTTGTGAGTTCCGCAAATGCGTACTCAAAGTCGTCTTTTTTTTTCTTGCCTCATAAAATCAGCCGGATCCAGCTTAGTATATCGGCATAAGCCTCAGTGTGATAAAACACAAAGGCTACTGCAGGACGAAGGCGCAGAAGCTGTGTTAGTT